GCTGTCTGCCAGATTTTAATAAAATCAGAATCACCACTATAGTATCGAAAGATGTTACCACTGTCTCGAGATTACACGAAATAAAATGTAATGCATTTCGCTCCTTGGCGAAAGAGAAAATAAAGAAAAAAAGAAGAGAAAGTTGAAGGAAAAGAAAAATTCGAGTAAAAATACTCCTGCGAGAAAAATGCAATTTGAAATAGATAATTGTTTAAATATATTCATTTTAATCGAATATTCTATTAATAAAAAATAATCAAATAAAGTATCTTAATTCATATTGATGAATAATTGTTCATTAAGTAAGAGCAATAAGTATTCTAATCTATTATAATATATAAAAGAAAGATAATTGTAAAAGTCAATACAATGGCAAATAAATTCCCATAATAAATTCTTATTCTTGTTTATTAGCACTATAACGTTTTTGTAATTTCATGTATTTTCCAGCAATTAGCGATCATCTAGCAATCATGATAAGTCTAAATATATATTTCTATCTGTATTCGTTTATTCTCCTATTTAATATTTTTTGCAGATTTATTTCCATGTTTTCTGTGTAAGTAACAGAAATCAAAATTTTGTAGATTCTTAACGAAACTCGGCAATCTCTGATAAAGATTATTACCAAAACATCCGATCCTTATAGTGCCTCATAGTACTTAATAAAATCAATATTTCCCCTTTGTAGAATAAAAAATTCGCATCTGCAAGTAAAATTTCACCCGATTCTGATGCGTACACGTCAAACTTCGGTCTTACGTCGTGTCGTTTTCCAATGTGTTCCATTCGTTCCATTATAACTTCTCGAAATTATCACCGTGTAGACATGTCTCTTCGAGAATGGAACAGCGAAACAGTAACTGGCCGGTATAGCAGGATTTCTACGATTTTCAAAGCAGCTTTCGTACAGCGTGTAATCGGGAATCATCTGTCGATACAGAAAGCGGCTATTTGAACGAGGCGATCATTGTAATATTTGCGTATAAATTTATCATGATGATTAATTTACGCCGAATTGATATTCCGAGTGAAATTAAAACAGCGTAATCGACATCGTCGGGCCATAATGAAATAATTGTAAAAGTTACGGGATAATCGATACACAGAACGATAATTGGTAAATTTATTACCAAAATAACGGTCGGAATATCATTTTCGAATAATTACAATTCTATGTTTAATTGAGTCGCAATATTGGCACGTAAAACAAAGACTGAATAATGTAAATATGTTTCTGCTTAATTGAGAATGTTTGATCGAACTTCTATTCTCGTGCCAATTGCCGATAATCTAGTCCTACTAGAAGTGAGCTATTTTCAGGCGATCACATTTTTAAAAATCTATCGTCCAATCTATCGTCCAAGGATGATAATTTGTTGATTCGGGAAATATGAATGTAAAAACGATTCTTTGCAGGTAGAAACAGGAGCGATTACGATGTTTACTTACCAGTTTACTCACAATTTTCATGACTCTTTAAATCTTTACTCCGCCTTTTTTCTGAGATACGATTTCTTGTAGTAGTCGCAAAACATGTAAAACATGATAAGAATCTGCGACATGTAGATATAAGCTATTGGTTTCCGATTTGGTTCGCAAGTAGGCAACAGAGTTTGGAATGTGTGACATATCATGATTATAAACTGGAACTGAAATCATAAAAGAAAGCATATCTTATTTTCGATACAACAAGCAAACTTTTCTTCGGCACAAATCATATGAAATACAATGTTGAGCGAAAGAAGTTTCAAACTTTCTGTGTAATATTTGTTGACGAAACTTTAAATATACTATTTTATTAAATGTTGATAACAATCATCTATTCATTGTTCTACTTCGTCAGAAAATGACAGATCGTCACGTGTTATATACAGTAAGTCACAAAAATATTCGTACCATCTTTTAGCAATTGCGGACGATTCATATTTTTTCACAAATAAATTCCAAAGATTCGTTCCGGTGAGAATGTCAATGAAGTTTCGATATTGAAAAGAATTCTGAAATCTCTGTGACTCACTCTACCTTGTAAACTTCCTTCCGTCCGTATTCTATGAATACATAAATAAGAGCTCATGTTAAGATGCGAGATTTCAGAATTTATCATTGATAAAATGCTCTGTTCCCTAAAAAATTTTTCCGTAGAAGTGAAGTGAGAGATGAAATTTTTTATTCCAGGGAATAAAAGAATATATGAAAGGGGGGAGGGGGAAGAAAAATACAAGAGAAATGTGAAAAAGAGCGAAAAGTCGCTGCGAAGGAGAAGCGCGAAACGAAAACAACGTTGTTCACGCACAACGGAGCTTAATAAGGCCTCTCTCGTCGCGTTGTAGGTAAAATGACACTCTAGCCTGTCGTGGCACTCTTCACCCGAAGCTGCTGCAGTTCCACTCGTCGCAGCGTGAAACGGTTTAAAACTCGAAATTAAACGACCGCGTAACCCGATAAATCGTCCCGTAGATATCCGGCGGAGGAATAAAAGTTGCCCCGACGACGGATTATTTAATTAAAAAGCGGCAGCCAGTGCGCCTAACCCGTTGTTTTCTGTCGAAACTCGAAACGTAAATCGAATCACCGCTAGTACACGTGTAATTCCGGCATCGGGCACTTACGACCCTTTCAACCTTTCTGTGCAAAAACCCGGTTATTGAGTTAGACAGGCCAAATGCGAGCCAATATGTGCACGTCAAACGTAAAACGTGTGTGTACAGGGTGCATCAAAAATGTTGGGCAGAATTTTTCACGCTAGAATTACCGAAAATGTCTATGAGCTGTCTAATATTCATGTTAGTAGCGCAATTTTAATTCGCAATTTCTTTCGTGCGATTCAACTTTGCGATTTTAATTTCTAATTTATTTGTAATAACATTTGCTTACTTAATATTAATTTCAATTTATATTAATGCCAATTTAAATTCGGTTTCAACATTAATTTTTATGATTTTAATTTATAATTTATTTAAATAACGCAGTAAATAATTAAGTAACAGTGCAAGAATACGTTGTAAAATATTTTTAGTTTCTGTCTCGTTGATACATCAGAGGCCTCGAAGCTACAATTTCATTAAGACTAGTAATTTTCCGTAAAAATTTTACAATTTCGTCGTTGATACTATAGTAATAATCTATAGAGATCATTCTTCACATCTAACATATCTAATTTTCCGCTCAACTATTTTTATACACTCTATACCTGATTCGAACAGCCTGATCGCGATGAACGTCCATATGCTTTTCCATACATGTTCGCGAAAATATATATTGCACGATGGTGATCGAAGGCGTGACCGTATTTCATTGTTTCGCCAAGTGCTCGAACGAAACTCATGCAGTTTTTATTCATTTTTTCTCAGGATTCCTGGCTTGATTGGCGACTCGAATGAAATTTTCAATAACGTCACTGTAGCTAAGAGCATACCAGTTCCGATCCACGATGTTTGAGTACCGATACTGTTCCACTTGACAATTCCACTTGTGAGATATCTGGGAATTTTTCCTTTTGCAACTCCGTTACAAAGACAGTGATATTGAGATTTATAAGTGAGAATTTCGGATTTCATAATATTTAGAATAGCAGAATATTTATAAGAAATTCCTAGCTAGAGTCTTCTTACGCTAATAAAATCAAACTAATAAAACATAACAACGTTAATATAATATTAATGAAATTTTTATAATTATTCTGATTAATCTTTCAATAAGTCTTTAATTATTATTTTAGTAAAATTGTTCTATATAAAACGACTTAATCGGTAAAAATAAAACATCGTACGATTGAAAGTCAAATTTGTGCAGACTGCGTACAAAAATTGTGTAAAAGACTGAAGATATTATCTAAAAGAAAATATGGTTTGCCAATTCATTATTGAAATATGATCGATAATCGGAGTACTGCTTGGAATATTTATGACTAGAACAAATCTGATCGCGTTATCAGAAAGTCTGATACCTCATCAAGAAACTGCTGGAGGGTGAAGTTTTGTGAACGAACCCGATGTAAAGTCAAGGAGGGTTAAGAAAATTTTCTAGCGTCGGTGCAAACGAATTTGATGCAAGTGGATTGTGCAAAATATTATTTGAAACTTTCTCGTAATTATGAAAATTGATGTAACTAGAAAATTCACGTCATATGAGAATATAATATACCGTAATTATAAGGAATAATAGACAAGCAGAGAAGATATGTCAAAAAGATGCTTCAAAGATGAAGATCTTCGACGTGAGAAGTTGGATTTACTACACGAACCTGTAACAAATATATTCTTACGGAAAAGTGGACGTTCAGTTCTCCAACCAAGACTACTCACGATCCATCAGACGATGACAAATAATATTTTCGACCAATATTGAGATCATACATTGTGCTCCCACCAAAAAGTCATACCATAATTATAAAATCTCTCAAATTATACGGACGTAGCGTAAATTCCGCCCGCCTCCTCACACCGACACACCGTCACATCCACACAACATTCTACGCTATTACCATTATCCAATCGGCCAGTTTCGCAAACAGTTTCGCCAAACGATCGGCCGAACAACCACCGCAGATCGGCCCCGGTATTTTCTACGCGTTATTCGCTTATATAGATTAATTTACTTAGCCGGTCGCGTATAACCGGCCGCGCCGACCGGTCCGAAACGTCAATAGCAATTTCACGTTGGAGAAAAAAATTCGCTGCAGGACAGGCAATGTAATTTTGTGATTACGCGATACGCGACGGTGTACGGTGAAATGAGCGAATAACGCTCCCAGCACGGCAATTCAACGGGCGCAGCGAAACACACCCCTGCTCGACAATATATGCATTCCGAACCAAGTTTTGTGTGTATGTGTATGTGTGTGTGTGTGTGTGTGTGTG